AAAGCTTATGACATTTTTACATGACTTTGCATACAAAATTCAATTACATTATTGATGAAGACGATCCTATCACCATTATGGGAAAGTACTAAGATAATGAGATTGTTTTCTAATGATGAATGAGTTACACGAACAAGTTTATTGCTATTTATGTGTTAAGAATCCAATTTTAAAGAAGCATTAAATTTTGTTTTGTCTTATTATCCAGTATCAAGTAAAAGTGCATTATAATAGCTTTGAGTAATAGGCTTTTCTATTTACGCACAGTAAATTCAATGTTTTCCTAGGGAAATTATTCTCCAATGAATACGCAAGAGAAAAATTATTGTCCATCGAATTAAGTTTGTCCTATTTTCATTATTTTCCTACAACTAAGAATACAAAAAGTTGACAACCGATAGAAACATTCTTCTAGACTACAATTGCGATAATAACAATCATCAACGCATTGTCGGAAAGCCAAATTGATCCGTTATCTCTTTGCTCGTGATGCATCAACGAGTTTATGCAAGAAGTCGTTTGTATATTTCCTTGTTCTTAAAAAATGTGACTGAATTCTTCTGGACTGATCATCCATGAAGTATTTAAGATTTCAGATCGAATAGCTCAACTATTTGACAGCTTCTGAAGATTGGAAGTTCAATTTGAAAATTTTTAAGAGAGTTGAGTGATATCATTTGATGTCAGAGATTTGTTGAACAAGTTGTAGATTTTGTTGAAACCTTTTTCAAAATTACCAATCCTATTTCTTTATATCTACGTCAAATGTTTGAGCTATCAAATATCATCTTGAAAGTCACCTGTGCGCAAAAACTAGTTGAAAAAAATACGTTAAACAGAGTGAGGATTCGATGTTTTCCACTAGATTGTATTACTTTCAAAGATCCGATTACGAATAATGCAACGCAACAAGTAGATATACTGGATATAATCTATTCGAAATTGAATTGCAAAATGGATCTCTTCACAACTTGGCAATGAAGCCGTTGCAAAGAAGATAGGAGTTCAAAGAACAAATTTTTTAAATGTAAAGAAAAATTATTGGAATAACTCCAATAATTTCTCGTCAACAGGTGAAGTGAAAAATTCTAGAATCTTTGAATGTATATCGGCGTTTTTCGAATAATGCTTGATCTTCAGTCTTAAGCAGTATTGCCAGGTCATATTTTGTTTTGTCAGTAGATTACCAGTCTAAAGATCAGTAGAAATCAGTAGACAGATAAGTTACCTTGTTAAAGGGGTAAACTATGAGTTTACCTGCAGCTTTCACCTGTACAGGTAGAATGATTCACAAATATTTTTGGAATCGGGGCATTGTGCTCTTCAAGAATATAAAATGAAATATAGAGCATCTCATTTGAAAAAAGCTGGAAGTATGCAAAATTTCACATTTCTGACATTTAAATTTTGTTTCTGATCATGGTTTCTAAAAATTCAGCCAAAACTGTACAAATTTTGTATTTATACCTTTTTTCTACTTGTAAAAGGAGGTAGGTGGAGTGTCAATATACAAAAAAACACCCTGTATGAATAAGTGGATTATTGCGGAAATTATGGGTGGACTTCTGCGGGACGAGCGCAGCGAGTTCCGCAGCAATCTACTCACCAATATTCTGTTGAACTGTTCAAATAAGACACTCACCTGAAACGTGTAGTTTTTAAACTTATGAGAAAAATTCACAACTGAGTGAATCAGGTTAGTATTGTACTTGAACAGTATATTAGTGAATAGATGCCTGGGTCCACCCATAAGTTCCGCAACAATCCACTCATTTGTACTTGAATAAATTGTCACAATATATTATACTAGTTTGGTAAAGTAGCATTACCAATTTCTGTTAGAAGGCGAATTGACAAAAAATGAATAATCATAATCTTACAAATTTTGAGTTTATATAATAAGTTATTGTTCAAGTACAAATAAGTGGATTATAGCGGAACTTATGGGTGGACCTCTGCGGGACGAGCGCAGCGAGTTCCGCAGCCATCTACTCATCAATATACTGTTGAACTGTTCAAGTAAGACATTCACCTGAAACATGTAGTTTTTAAACTAATAAGAATAACTCATATTTGAGTGAGTCAGGTTAATATCGTAATTAAACAAGATATTGATGAATAGATGGCTGCGGAACTCGCTGCGCTCGTCCCGCAGAGGTCCACCCATAAGTTCCGTAACAATCCACTCATTTGTACTTGAATAAATTGTCACAATATATTATACTAGTTTGGTAAAGTAACATTACCAATTTCTGTTAGAAGGCGAATTGACAAAAAGTGAATAATCATAATCTTACAAATTTTGAGTTTTTATAATAAGTTATTGTTCAAGTACAAATAAGTGAATTATAGCGGAACTTATGGGTGGACCTCTGCGGGACGAGCGCAGCGAGTTCCGCAGCCATCTACTCATCAATATACTGTTGAACTGTTCATGTAAGACATTCACCTGAAACATGTAGTTTTTAAACTAATGAGAATAACTCATATTTGAATGAGTCAGGTTAATATCCTAATTAAACAAGATATTGATGAATAGATGGCTGCGGAACTCGCTGCGCTCGTCCCGCAGAGGTCCACCCATAAGTTCCGCAACAATCCACTCATTTGTACTTGAATAAATTGTCACAATATATTATACTAGTTTGGTAAAGTAACATTACCAATTTCTGTTGGAAGGCGAATTGACAAAAAGTGAATAATCATAATCTTACAAATTTTGAGTTTTTATAATAAGTTATTGTTCAAGTACAAATAAGTGGATTATAGCGGAACTTATGGGTGGACCTCTGCGGGACGAGCGCAGCGAGTTCCGCAGCCATCTACTCATCAATATACTGTTGAACTATTCAAGTAAGACATTCACCTGAAACATGTAGTTTTTAAACTAATAAGAATAACTCATATTTGAGTGAGTCAGGTTAATATCGTAATTAAACAAGATATTGATAAATAGATGGCTGCGGAACTCGCTGCGCTCGTCCCGCAAAGGTCCACCCATAAGTTCCGCAACAATCCACTCATTTGTACTTGAATAAGTTGTCACAATATATTATATTAGTTTGGTAAAGTAACATTACTAATTTCTGTTGGAAGGCGAATTGACAAAAAGTGATTAATCATAATCTTACAAATTTTGAGTTTATATAATAAGTTATTGTTCAAGTACAAATAAGTGGATTATAGCGGAACTTATGGGTGGATCTCTGCGGGACGAGCGCAGCGAGTTCCGCAGCCATCTACTCATCAATATACTGTTGAACTGTTCAAGTAAGACATTCACCTGAAACATGTAGTTTTTAAACTAATGAGAATAAGTACAGAGTGTTTTTTATGTATTGAAACCCCACCTACAGCCTTCACCTTTGCAAGTAGATCAAAGATGTAAATACAAAAGTTGTACAGTATTGGCTAAATTTTTGGAATCCATGGTCCTATGCAGTACCTATGCAGTAGTTTAGTCTTATAAAAACAGGTAAAACAAGCTGCAGTTAGTTATACAGCATAACGCTATATGACTAATTGACTAAGACTAACCAACAACAACGCATGCCTTTAGGCAACTGGCAAGGCAAAAGGCAAATAAATAAGACAAGACACAACACAAACACGCACGAACGCAGGTAAATAATGGCAATGGCTTTTATCAGTAGAATTTACATTGATATCAGTATATCAGTAGACCAGTGGCCAAATCAGTGGATCTACTAATAAATCAGTAGACCTGGCAACACTGGTCTTAAGTCAGCAAAAACTCAAGTACCTACAGTAATTTTTAATTCTTGCTTGAAAAATGAGTTTTCAATTTTAAGTCTTGGAATCTTTAAAGTTTTTAAAGTCATAAGTTTTGAGCCTCTTGTCAATAAGATTCCAATTTTTGATTATTCAGCTTTTGAATTTTGATCGTCTCGATTTTTTTTTAGAGAAATTGTCTGACGAAATCAGACGATAATTGTTCAAATGTTGACTATTCCCGGCTCTTGATTGGCTCCAGGATTATTTTACAACAAATCAAGAGCCGATAATTGTGACTATTTGGCTCTTGGTGCACTGAAAAATTCAAGTAAGTAGTCGAAATTTTGATTATTAACGGATTTTTGAGTCTTTGACTAACTTTAGAAAAATCGTCTAGCGAATCAAGAGCCGATAATAGTTCAAATTTTCTCTATTACCGGCTCTTGATTGGCTTCATCAGGGAAGTTTTCTAGGAAATCAAGAGCTAGTAATGGTCCAATTTTTTATTCTACAGTTTCTGATTCATTTTTAGAAGAAATCGTGAGCCAAATTTTGATTATTAGCGGCTCTGGAATTCTGACTGCCCTTAGAAAGTGTCCAGCGAATCCAGAACCGATAATATATGATGATTTCCTCTGGAAATGAATCAAAAGCTGTAGAATAAAAAAATGGACTATGGCCGGCTCTTGATTCGCTGGAAAATGTTCTTGAAGCCAATCAAGAGTCACTGATAGATAAATTTTTAACTATTATCAAGAGCCTGTGATAGTCAAAATTTGAACTTAATATTACTGAGTCTTGATTCGTTAGACGATGGAGTCAATCAAGGGCCGGTTATAGTCTAATTAGGAACTATTATCGACTCTAGATTCACCAGACGATTTTTCCAAGGGTATAGGTAGGTAGTCAAAACTCAAGAGCCGCTTATAAGGAAAATATGGAATTTAAAAATTATTTAACAGGGAAAGTTAGTTGACATTGAATATAGATACTTGATTTAATGTTTTCACTATTAAAAATCATAAAATTTTCTCCAATTATGAATTTAATAATTTTAGCAAAATTCATTGTTCAAAGGAACTAGATCACTGGCAAGTGAACCTTTTTATTGTCGTTAAAAAAAAATTCAATAAAAATTGGGTTTCAAGTTCAATAATATGCTTCTCAAGACACAATAATTACAATTTGTTCTAATTTGGGTACCATAATTGACCCAGATTCCACGCAATTTTAGTCATTATCGCTTTAACAATTAGGTTTTTTACCTTCCAGCATTCTACTTCTAGCAAATTCGCCCTGGGTCGCCTCTCCTCCTAATCCTTTTAGCCTATCCATAATCACTAACTTATACAATCTATTACCACAACATTATCGCGTCCGAACCAAACCAGACAGCGGTTTGTTTATGACTAATGACTAATATTAATTGCAAATTTGAAAAAATATATTCGCGACGCCGTTGTCGTACTAAATGGAGCTCGCAAGTGGTACTACTAAAAGTTGTTTTTTTCTGCTGTTGTTTCGACCTCAGACAGCTGATTTTCGATGCGAGGGCGTCGCGACGCTTTGTTACGATTGGTCGGGGTGTGGGTGGTAAACGGTGCAACCTTGCCAAATTTGTATTTGTTTCTTGAATGTTTTTTACCCTTCGCACAAGAGACCATTGGTTTGTTCTCACAAAGGGTCAGAAACAATCGCTCAGCTAAGTTACCGATGCAACATGATGCTTTCCAGAGTTTGCAAAACTGTCGAGATTCTTATAAAAACATACCTTACATTCAAATTTTGATTATTTGAGTACAAAAAATCACTTTCAGCTGCTGAACACAATTATTGTTGAGAGTTTCTCATATATAACCTGAACAAAAATTCATTTATCATTGGCTCATATACAAGAATAATTTGATATTCTACTCCTACTTCTTATAGAAAAATTATTTGAGTCAAAATTTCAAGAAAATTTGGCAACATTTCAATTTGGCCTCAATCGATTCCGTTTTAGAGGCTCAATGACTCAACGTAGGGAGGCTCCGACTGGATTTTATCATAGGCCTACTATACTGAAAAATCGATTCTCATGAGGCCAGGCGGTTCGATATTATGCTTGTTACTGTAAAAATAATATAAATTAGTTCTCCTTTCCATTATAATGTCTTCTTTCAACGTTATTTATTAATAAATTCTTCAGGGAATTTTCGAAATATTATAAGGTTGAATTCGTGAATGAATAATTTCATGGGGAAATAATGGCTCCATGTCGATTAAAGACCACAGAGAATAATTATAAGCTAAATACCTTAGTACTAAAATGATTTAGCCGTATGATTTTCGGCGATTTTAATCCCAGTAAAGGACTACAATTCCTGAAAATTTCAGCTCATTTGCACTTATAGTTCCTGAGATAAAATCGTGTTAAGCAATTTAGGGTGATTTATCAATTTTTCAATTTTTCTGAGTGCCTTTTTTCATAGATTTCGGCTTCAAATCTGAGAATAATTTAGTGTATGGAGTTCAGTGGCGGCCAGTGGCAATCTAGTGTGGTTGTGCGCTCTTGGAAAATTTTTTGGAGGTGCCACGGTGCCACGTCCTGTTCTACATTTATTTTGTATGTTGAATTTTTTTATCTTTACTTTAGGAAAAATTATCGAAAACAAAAATATATGTATTTAAATGGGGCTCGAATGTTTGTATTCTAGCCATAATACATAATTGATATTGAAATTTATAATTAAAAAAAAAAAACGCGAACAACAGAGTTGTCAAACCGCCAAAATGGTGAAAAAACATCGAAATATTCTCGATTGAGTGGAAACAACATTGGAAGTGTGTATTCAAATAGCGCACGGCGCATCCCTTTCATCGGGCGACTTACCGTATATTCCTGATCAATCGCACAGCGAGAAAACACATTTACCCAGAGCGCCGAACGATTCCACACCGACCACCCGGACCACCAGCACAACCAAGCGGGAGAAAAAAAATATACAAGCAGGCGCAGGGCGCGCTTTCGTTCCGTTCGAGTTCGTGCGAATTTAAAAATAGAAAAATGAGTAGATGTTTATCCTAATTTAGAAAATTGGGTAGGTATTTTTTAATTGAAGTTTCTTTTCTTTCCAAAATTTTAATTTTATTTTCTTGCTTGGTTTTTGGAGGCAGTGCGCGCGCACGAGCGCACTTATTGAGAAGCCGCCCCTGATGGAGTTTGGGGTATGTTAACTGACCATTAGGATACAAAATCTCGACAAAAAAAAAATTGAAATTTTATCATTTTAGTAAGAAGGTACCTACCTTATGATTTAGATTTTGGAAAACTTTGAAAGGTAATAACTTTTTTTCTATTATAGATAGAAACCTGGAACTTTCACTGAATTTTATCCCTTCCCAAGGACTACAATCCCTGAAAATTTCAGCTTATTTGCACTTATAGTTCCTGAGATAAAATCGTGTTAAGCAATTTAGGGTGATTTATCAATTTTTCTATTTTTCTGAGTGCCTTTTTTCATTAATTTATACTTCTTCTAAGGTCATAACTTTTTTTCTATTTTAGATAGAAAGTTGAAACTTTCACTGAATTTTACCCCTTTCAAAGGACTACAATCTCTGGAAATTTCAGCTTATTTGCACTTATAGTTCCTGAGATAAAATCGTGTTAAGCAATTTAGGGTGATTTATCAATTTTTCAATTTTTCTGAGTACCTTTTCTCATAGATTTCGGCTTCAAATCTGAGAATAATTTAGTGTATGGAGTTTGGGGTATGTTAACTGACCATTAGGATACCAAATCTCGACAAAAAAAAAATTGAAATTTCATCGTTTTAGTAAGAAGGTACCTACCTTATGATTTAGATTTTGGAAAACTTTGAAAGTTCATAACTTTTTTTCTATTATAGATAGGAAGCTGAATCTTTCACTGAATTTTATCCCTTCCAAAGGACTACAATCCTTGAAAATTTCAGCTTATTTGCACTTATAGTTCCTGAGATAAAATCGTGTTAAGCAATTTAGGATGATTTATCAATTTTTCTATTTTTCTGAGTGCCTTTTTTCATAGATTTCTACTTCAAATCTGAGAATAATTCAGTGTATGGAGTTTGGGGTATGTTGATTGAGCATTGGGATACGAAATCTCGACAAAAAAAAAAATTGAAATTTCATCGTTTTAGTAAGAAGGTACCTACCTTAATTATGCTTTAGATTTTGGAAAACTTTGAAAGGTCATAACTTTTTTTCTATTTTAGATAGAAAGTTGAAACTTTCACTGAATTTTACCCCTTTCAAAGGACTACAATCTCTGGAAATTTCAGCTCATTTACATTTATAGTTTCTGAAATAAAATCGTGTTAAACAATTTGGGGTCATTTATCAATTTTCCAATTTTTCTGAGTGCCTTTTTTCATAGATTTCGACTTCAAATCTGAGAATAATTTAGTGTATGGAGTTTAGGGGATCCCAACGTACCATTAGGACGTTGAAAATATGAAAATGTTAAAATCTTTTTGCTTTTTTGTAAATTTGTATTTCTGAAACTATAATTCCAAATATAAGGCAAAATTTGCTGGAGTTGTGATTCTTCACTATCTACAACTATATACCTATATTCCAGTTAAATATATCTTCAATAGAATTCCATGTTGTCCAATAATCAATTAAACAAATAAAAGTAATAGTACTTTGAAGCATAATCATCTGAAGAATCTAACCTTTTTATAATTGAAGGTAAAATTTTTGGCCAGTGAAAACGAAATTTATTCGAATGACTTGTCAGATATACAAGGATTCGATCATCAAATATCGAAAGTACAACTAGATCCGAACAGGAAGATAAATTTAGGAAAAAGTGCTACCTGCAAAGAAGAAACTATATGTATTGCTTAAATCTCTAAACAACTTTCAGCATTTTTCGTGAACAACCAATTAATATTTTCGATTTTCTACAAAAGTAATATCGATTATATCGACCTTCCGCGTTCTAGGATTAACTTGCCAAAAAAACAACAAACTATATACACTGGTTAAACAATGAAGAGCGAAAGTGTTGGTGTATTGTATTCTTTTTGAAAAAGACCCGCCGCAATGTTGTTCCAAATTCGTGCCGAGCCACGATCAGTTTAAAAGTACCTTTTACCTTATGCATGTACACGAACTAATTGATGCTACATGAAAACTATTAACAAATATTTACGATACTATAATTAAATTTTCAGCGCTTCAAATTTTTTTGAAAATGTCTAAAGGCATTCATGTGGTACTCATACTTGTTTATTCGAAAAACATTTCTCTTCAATGAGGTACGTAGTACCTATGCCGATTTATTTGACGAGTTTTGATGGGTATTATTTTATTTATAAGAAAGTTGTAAATAATGATGTGATTTATTAGGCATTTTGTTAATTTTAATCTGTTTTTTTCCGTCAATTTTATATTTGTTCTATAACATTGTTTTGTGTCACTGTTTAATGTATTTTGTTAACAGTGTTTATTTGTTTTTTATGTATTCTTTGTTACTTTTGTCGCTTCTCTATTGCTAAACTACATAAAATTTGAATTCTTAAAAACGAAAATAGAAAGTAAAAGATCTCTATTCCACAATCAAAATACTATAGTTAGTCTGATTATACACATATTATAGTTTTTTATGCCTTGGGGTGGGATATATTGTTGTGAGAGATAACTGGCTCCATTGGACAATAAATAACAATTTTAACTTTCACACTGAAAACAATATCATACATAGGATGTTTGTTTTTTCGCCTTCCAGGCTTGATAACCAATTGGTGGATATTACGAAAACTAGACCATTATATAGATATTGATAAGCGCCACAGGTTGTTGGTTGGGACATTTTTCGTTTTGTTTAGTTTACATAATTGGAATTTGTTGCCATATATTATTCATGTCAAAAGGAAAGGTAGGTACTTTCTAAGGGAATTAAATAATATACAATAATTCTTCAAAGTTATTTTGGGTGATTTTTATTAAGTGAAAGTAATTATATGTACATTAAAAATTAAAGTTTGAAATTTCAAAACTACCTATTAAACCACCATTTAGTTACGGTTAATATCCGTGGAAGTTACTTTTTTGGATAATACGTATCTACTAAAATGGAATACTAAACAGGCTCTAATCCGGAGATGAAAAGCCTGAGCTATTAATTTAATCCGCTAAACAATAATTAATTTCATTAAATATCTGAATAGAAGAAAAAAATTAATGTTTACTTTCTAATGGACTTGAAAAAGTTGAGAAATTATCTATACATGGGTAAATGGTTTTTTTTTTTTGGCGGTATTTCAATTATGTATTTTTTTTTAATGGGAATTTTCAACATTTTCATACATACACCTATTATATTATGACATAATGATCGTTTTATCTAGGAATAAACCAGAAAGAAGTGAAACCATTGGCGGCTCTTGACTATTTCAAGTGAGGAGGCTAAAAGATTTTCAGTGATTTTGAGTAGATCTTACGAGTTTTTCTGTGATTTTGACCAACTTGTATACAAATT